CCTGGGGCTTTGTTTGCCCAAACTTACCCATGGAGAAAAAGAAAGAGGGGGTTACCAAAGTAGAGATCCACGTTGCCAGGAACCCATTTCCAGTCACTAGCCAGCCCCTGGCCACCGCCCTCAGGCTGAACTGCTGACCACTGTGCTGAGTTTGTGCTGACCCCTCCACACTCTTTCACTCTGTTCCCCTTGAAATGGAAGGGGAGGCCTTGCCCTTCAGAGTTTCCCAGTACCAGCTGATGCTGAGGTGATAACTAACCCCAAATAGGAGCATAACTGAGAAAACCAACCTTCTGCACACAGTCTGACTGACTGAACTAAACCACTATTGGGCCACAATCTGATTAAATGAGTCAAGTTGGTTGAGTAGGGGTTAAATTTTTTCACTTACCTCAGAAGAGCTGAAGATTTTCACAGTAAACAACAGTACATACAAACATTTATAGTAGTTAGAACTTGTTTATTATTTATTTGTCCATCTACCACCACATTTATTTAGTTTAGTGCAAACCACCATGCATGGATCTGGTGAGACTGACAGATGGAAGAACTGATTTAAGAAAATTGTGACGGAGTACAGTGGGATCTGGGAGGGTACGCCTAACTCAGGTATTTATTTACAAAAAATCTTTGAAATGCATCTTGAAGAATAAATGACTTCTTTCTTCAACTCATATTTATCAAATTTTTACTATATGTTGAGGAAAGTATTAGGGAATAGAGAAAAAACAGTGAATTGAGGTCAGGTGCAGTAGCTCATGCCTGTAATCCCAGCTCTTTGAGAGGCTGAGGTGAGAGGATTGCTTGAGTCCAGGAGTTCAAGACCAACCTGGGCAACATCACATCTCCACAAAAAACAAAAAATTGACCAGGTGTGATGGCCCATACCTGTAATCCCAGCTACGTGGGAGGCTGAGGTGAGAGGATCACTTGAGCCCAGGAAGTTGAGGCTGCAGTGAGCCATGTTCATGCCACTGCACACCATCCTGGACAACAGAGTAAGACTGTCTCAAAACAACAAACACAGGCCGAGCACAGTGGCTCATGCCTGTAATCCCAGCACATTAGAAGACCAAGGTGAGTAGATCACTTGAGCCCAGTTCAAGACTAACCTGGGCAACATGGCAAAACCCAGTTTCTACAAAAAATGGTGGTATACACCTGGGCATGGTGGTATACACCTGAGCGTGGTGGTGGGCATGGTGGTGTAGGCCCAAGTCCCAGCTACTTGGGAGGCTGAAGTGGGAGGATAGCTTGAGCCTGGAAAATTGAGGCTGCAGTGAGTTGTGATTGTGCCACTGCACTCCAGCCTGGATGAAAGAGGAGACCCTATTCCAAAACAAAAACAGTGAAAGAAACAAATTCCTCAAATTGCTCCCTGTTTTGTGGAAAATAAAAGGGTAGGTGGGAAGTCTCTAAGAGCAGGTGGGTGCAGGATTTAAGAAAAGAGAAGTTCATGACTTAATATTTTAGTATGGCTAGAACGCATGAAATGTGGACATGAGGGGAACTGGGAGGGAGTTTGTGGGAGACAAACCTGAAGAGAGGTGTTTGGTCCAGATTTGAAGAGCCAGGTGTCAAGCCAAAAAGTTTGAACAGGATTCTGTAAGCAGCATCAGCTGTAGAGGGGGTGTGTAGGGGAATTACATTATCAGATCTCTGTCTACAAAGATTCCACAGGCACTTATGTTGTACAGTGAGAGAGTGAAAGCAAGAAAAGTTTTACAGTTTTCCAAGCAAGAAATAACTGGGCCCTGAACCAATACATAGGCAAGTAGAAACAGAGAGATGGGAAGGAGTCAAGGCGTAGATCAGAAGGAAGGCTATAAAACATTGGGAGATACTACCTACTCTCAAAAGAGTTTAGAGCCCTTTTAAGTCACCTACTTCACTCCTATTTCACAGATAAGAAAACTTTCTTCCAGAAGGGTCAAGTTATTTGCTCAAAATCACACACAGCTGGCAGCTTTTCCCAGTCTGGTCATTTTGGTTGTTGTCATATATATTAGTTTGCTAGGGCTACTGTAACAAAGTACCACAAATTAGGTGGCTTAAAACTATATAAATTTATTGTCTCCTACTTCTGGAGAAGTCCAAAATCAAGGCATCAGCATGGCCAGACTCTCTCTGAAACCTCTAGGGAACCCTGCCTTGCCTCTTCCTGGCTTCTGATGGTTTTCTAATAATCTTCAGGGTTTCTTGGCTTATAGATGCACCAGTCCAATCCTCTGTGTTCACACAGCTTTCTTCCTGTGTGCACCTGCCTTCACACTGTCATCTTTTTTTTTTTTTTTTTTTTTTTTTTTGAGACCAAGTTTCGCTCTGGTTGCCCAGGCTGGAGTGCAATGGGTTAGGTCTCGGCTCACCGCAACCTCCACCTCCCAGGTTCAAGCGATCCTCCTGCCTCAGCCTCCTGAGTAGCTGGGATTTCAGGCATGTGCCACCATGCCCCGCTAATTTTGTATTTTCAGTAGAGACGGGGTTTCTCCATGTTGGTCAGGCTGGTCTGAAAGCCCCGACCTCAGGTGATCTGCCCACCTTGGCCTCCCAAAGTGCTGGGATTACAGACATGAGCCACCGTGCCCAGCTGTCATCTTCTCATAAGGACACCTGTTGTGTTGAATAAGGAGCCCACCCTACTCCTGTATACCTCATATTAGCTAATTATATTCCCAAAAAATGTGACCTTTCCAAGTAAGAAATTTATTTAACCCATGATGCCATATCAAATTGTTCTGACAAAAAGGAAAAATGACACTCTTGGAATGAATTGGCTTCCTTTTGCCCAAATATAGGTAAATATCTCTTAGAGGCAATATACAGAAATTCAATTACTCAAAAATAGGCAGGTCCTGCACTCTTGGTTAAAGGTACTCATTTTTAACTTCTCCATTTCGTAGTGAAGTGATTAGAATAATGGAGGTAATGTCTAGAGATCTCAACTTTCTGTTTCATTGTTTCCGCATCCAGTATCTCCATCCTGATGTCCTAATGTGATCTTTCACAAGTCCCTGAGCTTACCCAGGGGCTGTCAGTTTATCTCTCTGTACAGTGGGACAAAGGAGACCTTCTCTGTGTTGCAGTAAGCGAAGTCTTAAGTGGACAGCGAATCTACGAAGTTATATCTCAGTCAGCAAATGCATTTCTCAGGAGAAAGGACCAGTGGCAATAGCAGAATGTTACCATTTCTGTAGTCTTCTTGACTACTGACTAATGAGGAACCAAAGAGTCCAAAATAGCTCATTTGCCCTCACCCAGGAAATGCATCCCCTACCCAACTTCCTCCAGAAGTCTCTGGGTTCTACAGCTGCTATAACCTTATACCTTCCCGGGGCTTTCACCTCTGCACAGATGCCTAGTATGCTCTGCTCTGTCCAAAGCTTTTCTAAACTTCTCTAGGCACCAGAAGCACCCTAGAGGGATGTTCAGATGAGGAAGGGGAATGGAGATAACAGCATCGGTTCAGATACTTCACATTTACGTCTTTCTTGAAAAGAGTGCCAGGGCCTTATAGAATCACTTGAGGGCCCATTGCATTAATCCCAAGTCTCCCAAACAAGTGAAAGTTAGATCACACTAAAGCCACCTTCATTTAGAGTTTGTGGTCAATCAAACAGAGCCTAAACTGAAATTTAATTTTGCCCTAGCAGTGAGAATTTGCTAAGCAAATTAATGCTAGATGGCAAACAAGGCTTCTTGAGTCTGCCTAAGAGCCTTTAAAGGACAACATGCTTTCAAGGCCTGGAAGCAGTCTTTTTACATGCTAATTACAAATCCTACAGTATTTGTGAAAGCAGGTTCCTTTGGGATTTCTATTAGCCAACAAGTTGTTTATTTCCAGTTTAAAGGCGGTGGAGGGTCTATGAATTATTGACTAGCTACTATGTGTTTTGCCTATGCTTGGTGGTGAGAGATTGTTTATCTTCACAACTGTCCTTGGAGCTAAGCATTGCCCCAGTTTGCACCTGTAGGATACAGACATGGCTGGCAGCAAAGAGCTGGTAAGGGATGGAGCGGGGATTCAAACGCTGGAGAGCCTAAACTCTGGAACCTGTGCACTCTCCTCCAGCCTATTACCAACCTTTGAATGTAATGTCTGCTTTTCTTAAAGGAATATTCTCAACTTCAGCCTTCTTAATATTTCAGAATAGCCCATCACTATTTAGTTCAAATTAGTTAGCCTTGTAAACCGTTTTTCACTTCAGTAATGAGGAAAACGAGGCATTCAGCCAAGAAGCGAACTGTGGAAGGATAGGATGCAGTAGGTCTGGGCTAAGAAATGGCAGTCCATGGTGCTTCCTGAGACCTACCAAGGACTCTGAAAGAAGACAAGATGAACAATCACTCCTTGTCTTAGATATATAGTTTCTTTTGGAAAGATGTGTTTTCACCACTCACAGGAAAGACTGCTTTCTAGCCTTAGCACAGAAATTGTGCTCAGATGATACCAGTGAGAAACAGCCCGAGAGGTCTAATCAACCTGGGATGTGTAAAAGGTGATGTCAGGTAGGTAGGTTTAACCCTTTGATTGCACCCTTTTCCAATACAGCTGTCACTGCCTACAAAGATCAGAAAAACTGACAAAATATTGGGAAATAGCTTCATGTTTTGAGAAATGCTACAAAGCCCCTTCCCCACCCCCACCCATGAGACAATATCTACAAGTCACATCATATCTTTCCAGCTTAGACTTATTTTTAAAGCATACACAGAACACATTTTAGTGTAATTGGAGAATTAGCGCTTTTGCCCCAGAAATGAAATGGCTGTTGATATCCAGGCTGCTTGTCATTAAAGAGAAGACTTGAAACATCAGAGGCAAGTTCAAACTCTCTAAGATGCAGTATTGAACTTTACTTGTAGCTGATGTGCCAAGAGCTGCCCAGCAGCACAATGCCTGAAACAAAACAGGTTTCAAGCAATTATAAGGCACAACATATAAATCAAGACTTCAGAATATTTATTAATGCTGAATTTTTATTGCAAAAAAATACTTTCAGAAAAACAAATATGACTCTTATGACTTATGAGACTGGCTGCTTGGATGCAGATCATCTTAACTGCTTGCACACTCCTTGGTATCTTTTCAGCTAAAGAGCCATTCAGGCTCAGCTTCAAGTGCAGAGGAAGTGCAAATAACCCCTGCACTTCAGAGCACAGCTTGCTTTGCTGAGACAGTTGAGCAAAATCCCAGCACGCTCTGATTCATTCTGCTTGCTGATTGGTCGTTCTCCCTGGCCGCTGACATCATCCTGTTGCTGGGTGGAAGACTTATGCAGCACAGCCCTCTTACAGACTTCAGATTCTTGTGAAGGGGATGTTGTACTCAACCCCGAAATCAGATTGTAGCTCAAATGGAATTGGAAGATAACTTTTTTGTGTGAACACTTCAGTCATCTTATGTCTGTTACATTATAGCGCCCTCCCAACCCCCATGCCGTAACCTAGCAAATGCTTTTGTGTGGCAGTTTCTGTTCCAAGCCACCCAACCCCCAACAGCCTCTAGAATGCAAGAGAATAAGAAAAAAACCTTATCGTTTGCCTTTGACTGTAGATGGAAGATGTCTTCTTACACGTCTCCTAGATGGGGCTGGCTTTCTGATTAGTTCATTTGCCTTTACCGTCAGAATTAAACTATGTCTTCACTTGCTACAAGGAATTGTGAAGTCATATTTAGGACTTTCTATTAAAAATGCCTTTTTACCTCTCATTTATTTTCCCAGCATTCTGTAAGCCTTAGGTAAACTGGAGAAGTGTTGGCAAAGGCCAACCTGTCTGTTGCCCTTTACAGTGTGCAAATAACTCTTTTATATACAATGCCTCATATGTTCTTCACAGCAGTCCTATGAATTAGCTACTATTACTTTCCCCACTCTATAGATAAGAAGCAAAGCCCCAAATAGTAAATCCTTTGCCAGCTACGTAGCTCGCACATGACAAAGCTGGGACTCAAACCCATGTTTTTTAATCCTAGTTTCTGAACTCCTTTCACTCAGACATAGGATCTTTCAACCTTTGGAGCCTAAGCGATTTGCAGGAACCAGTCCAAATTAAGTAGTTCAACCAGTGCTAGAACCCAGCAATTCTTGTTCTTCACACAAGGCCTTTTCTTCCAAACCTCTTGGTAGCTCTCAAGACAACATTGGAGATGCGCTTAGATACACATTTATTTTAGAAACCTTCAGGCTTTCACAAGCTTTTACTGATTAAGTGCAGCTTTGAGGGAAAAAAATAGAAGCCTAATAATTCAGATGCACATTTGCATTTATTACATAAGGCTTCTGTGAGGGATAAGATTATCCAGTTGCAGGCTTATTTTAAGTTTTAATGGAATGACTTTGACAGAGCAGAAATAGCAGGCTTAGTAACCAGCTCAGAACTTAGATGTCAGAGACATTTCCATGGTGGATAGCGGGGCTCCTCAGCTATCGGGGGGCACTGGATTTCTCTTGTTTATCTCTGGCTAGGATGATTAACCACCCTTGCTTGGCTTTCATCTTTCCTGGCACAGCTTTGTCTTTCATCTCATTCATTGCTCCGAAAGCTTCTTCTCTTTAACTTTTAAAACACACACAAAATATTTCAGCTTCCCTAAGTTATTTTTACATAAATAGAGCAGGAAAACATGGATATACTTCACGGAGCCTGTCACATCTGGTTTGCTCAGGTGAAAACCATACTCCCTTACCCATCTTTATTTTTAAGTGAGACAACGAATCCTTCAAAAAAGGCTTGAGACACTAAAATGTTGGAGGAAAGGAATGAAAGAGTGGGGGAGAAAGATTACTCAGACATAGAGGTGAATGTTTTTCTTTTCTATCTTGATCTTTATGACTATAGCCCCACATCACATAGTGTTGTGACTTATATTTCAGTATGTACATAGCTGATTCCATGTACTTTGCATTCTTCTCTCATTTTCCGATTACCTTTTTTGGTGGTGAGGGGACATTGTGGGGCTGTGTGTCCCCTGGACAGGTCTCCTGCTTTCGGTGTATGACTTAGGCATATATAGTTCACTCTCAATTTCAGCAAAACGTTTTCTCTGAAAGTGACTTCATTTCACACCACTCAGATCTTCACATTTTCACTGCCTGTGGAAATAAAACTTACTGATTTTTGTCTTTCTGTGTTATTTGAAGGTAACGACCAGTTTGTTCTGCAGAAAAACAGAATCTTTGTCTCATAGACTCCCCAGAGTGAAACTGGCCAGTTCCCACATCCAGCTCTCTCCCTCCCTGTTCAGTGGACGTACCACACCTTTGTTCCTGCTATCTTTTTTGCCTAAAGTGTGTGTCTTAAAATATGGCACAATAAATGCTGAACAAAAACAACAATAAAATCCTATGGTCACATTGTTAGTGGCAGTTAAAACTGAAATTAGACCCCAACCTCACAGGATTATTAAACAAACATTTTAATGATGAAGAGAGACATTAATGAGGTTTAAAAAAAATGTGTGCACCATCGAATTCCAAAATTCCAGACAGGCACACTGGCTCATACCTGTAATCCTAGCACTTTGGGAGGCCAAGGTGGGTAGCTCACTTGAGGTCAGGAGTTCAAGACCAGCCAACATGGTGAAACCCTGTCTCTACTAAAATTATAAAGAAATTAGCCAGGAGAGGTGGGAGGAGACTGTAATTCCAGCTACTTAGGAGACCAAGGCTCGAATTCTCGAGGCTTGAACTCCAGAAGGTGAAGGTTGTGGTGAGCCAAGATGGCACCACTGCACTCCAGCCTGGGCGATAGAGCAAGACTCTGACTCAAAAACAAACAATAAACAAAAAAACAAAACTCTGGACATGAAAGTCCGTCCCGGGAGTCTGGGACTTGGAATGAACCCACTTGGCCCCCCTTACCTGTTTTTTACTCTGGGAGATTCATTTTGCCCAGAAAGTAAGAGCAAATCAGGTCCACAACTAGACATTATGTTCTAAGCTAGATGATCTCTAAGGACACTTCCAGCATGGCATTCTATGTTTTTGAGCCCTTTGCAAAATTGTGTGCTGGGTTAAGAGTTCAGCCTCTGGAATCAGGTCCCATTCAAGCCTCAGCTCTGAAACATACCAGCAGACTACAGGGAGAGACAGAAACCAAGAAAAGAGTGGGGATGATTTAACCTCCCTCTGTCTATTTCTTTTCTTTTTCCTTCTTTTTTTTTTTTAAATAAATCAAGAAGTGTAACATACCTGCATCTTATAGATGAGGATTAAATAGGATAATATCTATGAAATCCTTAACACAGGACTGGATGTGGGATGTTCAAAAATCCCAGTAAATGTTGCCGAGTATTTTTGCCAAAGTTGTAGAAACTCAGGTACCTTAAAAAAAAAAAAAGATGGAGAGGAATTAATGAAAGCAAATTTCAAAAATGAGTATCTGTGGTACTCATAGTTTATTAATCAAAGAAGAAGGCAAAACACGTGGGGACAGAATGCAAAACTATGAATAGCTCAAGATGGTTTACATCAAAAGAAGATTTTTTTCTTGTTTCTCTTTCAATGAGCTTTCCCAAATTAAATTGTAGTTTTTATTATAACTGTTAACCAGAGTTCTATTCTCAAATTCCAGGCTCTTTCTACATGTCCTGCTCATGAAACTGGAGATCAGTGATAAGGTGGTTACACATCTCTTCTCTCCTGATTTCCCTGCATCATACGTAGAATCTCTGAGATGATCTGAAGACACTGATAACTCCTATGACATATCAGGAAGTGCTTCAAAGACCTAAGTGTATGATTCTGTGGAGCCAACACTAACGCATAAATGTGGGACCCAGTTCCTCACCACATAGAGCTAAACTGGCCACAGACCTGAGAACTGTCAGAAGGGCTAAATTTTATATTTTAATCCTCAAAATTTATCAGATAGCCTGGGTGTTTGGAAAGTCCATAGAAATCACGCAGGTTAGGTCACTGAACATTGCTTATTGAGTGTCAGTCACATGCAATACGCTGTGCTCAATGTTGAGACTATGGTGATGAATAAAACGGCAGCTCCATACTGACAGACACATAACAATATTAAAATGTAATGTCACGAATAGTGTGGCACAGGTGTTCACAGGTTCTGTGGGTGCCCATAAATAGGGTGCTTATTTCCTAAGCTATAAAATCGAGAGAGGCTTCCCAGGTAAAAACATTGTATGGTACCCTACAGGTACTGACCAATCAATTAAGAACCACCTGGAAAGAAATCTCTACTGGTGCCATGCTAAAGGGCTTAAGGACCCTCTGAGACCTGTCACCAATTTTTTTTTTTTGAGACAGTCTCACTTTGGTGCCCAGGCTTGAGTGCGGTGGCATGATCTTGGCTCACTGTAACCTCTGCCTCCTGGGTTCAAGCGATTCTCTTGCTTCTACCTCCTGAGTAGCTGGGATTACAGGCATGCACCACCACGCCCAGTTAATTTTTGTGTTTTTAGTAGAGACGGGGTTTCACCATGTTGGCCAGGCTGGTCCTGGACTCCTGAAAACCTCAAGTGATCTGCCTTTCTCGGCCTCCCAAAGTGCTGGATCCATTTTTTAAATAAGATCTTGAGTTAACAAAAAGAAGACACGATCAACAGATCTGCATGTAGCATAAAGTTGGAAGAGAGAGCTAGTAGCAAGATGCAAAAAGACAGCAGGCTGGGAGGATGGCCTGAAACCAAGAAAAATGTAAAAATTTGTATTAAAAAAAATCAAGTGTATAAGAACAGGAGGTGAAAAAACTGGTTCAGAAGCACTCCATGTGAGAAGACACGGGAATGGTTCACTGGAAGTTCTTAGTTTGACTATTAGCTTCTTTAATGAAGCAAAATGTCATTTCTAAACTGTCATATCCTTAAGGGCAGGGATCACATCTTAGATATTTTAATATCTTTTCTTTGTCTAACATATGGCCTAAAACAGAGTATGTGCTCAATATATCTTTCTGAAATAGAGTCAAAACTAAGAATGTCCAAAGGAACAGGCTCCACAAATGAATGGGCTGTGGTCAGAATCACCAGAGAAGGCTGTTTCAGTTTTTCTCTTATGTACAGTCTTTCTGACACTGTTCTGGGCTTTCTCTTCCCATTTTCTTCTTAATATAAAAATCAAAATCTTTTGCATGATTTAGAAGGTGGGACCTCTTCCCCATTTGACTTCAAGCCCCACTTCCCACTGTTCTCTTCCTGGCTCACCTACTGCTTCCATTCTTTCAATTCCTTCCAGTCTGCACAAGTGCCAGTCTCTTTTCATGGAGCACTCCTTGCAGCCTCTCACACTCACACACATGCACATACACTTTCCACCTGTTTACCCTGCTTCATCTCTGCTTGTCTTTTTAACTTCCCCTGAACCCACAGCCCAGGCTGAGTCCCTCTATTACATGCTCTCCCACTTCCCCGGCATTAGCCACAGTCATTATTCAATGCAAGCCATTATTCAGGGTTAATTATTGTTTCAAACCTGCCTTCCTGCTGGAGTGGAACCTCCAGGAAGGCAGGAACTTCAGCTGTCTTGTGTCTTCACCACTGTATGCCAAGCACCTAGGTCAATGTTTCTCAGACTTTAATGTATCTGTGAATGATCTGGGGATCTTTTTCACCTGCAGCTTCTGATTCAGTATGTCTGTGGTGAACCCTGAGGACCTGCATTTCTTGCAAGCTTCCAGGTGCTTCGGATGCTACTGGTCACCTGACCCACTTTGAGCAGCAAAGGCCTGTTACACAGCCTGGCCTCTCATCTTCACTGCCTTTAAACCACCCCCAGCTTTCCATCCTCACAGCTATTGCCATAATGGCATTTCTTGGTACCTCTCATCCACATAATCTAGTCTCCCAACTGGATTTTCTGCTTCAGTTTCCTAGAGGTCCAGCCCATGGGTGGCATATTTTCAAAGTATCATTCTAAAATATAGACTTAATCATGTTGTCTTCCTTCTTTAAAAACTTTAGATGTGCCCTGTCAAATTGTAGAAAAAAAACCCAAGGTCATCAAGGCATTGGCATGGCATTCAAGGCTCTATCATGAGTTTATCCCCAAATAGTTTTCCAGTTCTACCTCTTCTATACCCTTATCTCACATTTCACATTTCTGCCCTATGAAAGCCTTTGCAATTCCTTGGACTCACTAGGCTGATCCATTCCTCCTATCTCTGCTCAGGTCACGGACTCTTCCTGGGATACCTTCTCCCATTTCCGTCCACCTGTCAAAGGTCTACATTCCTCTCCTGACTTCCCTCCCTTGTGTAAGAAGCTCTTTAGGGATTCCCCTCTCCAAGAAGAGTTGGCTGCTTTCTCATTTAGGTTCTGTTATAGCTACTGTGCTTGACTGACCTATTTACATGGCTGCCTCCTCCTTCTGGGCAGTGAGTCCTTCAGTCACAAAACTGTATCTCATTCATTCTTGCTGTCTTCTTGCCTCGCACTTGGTTAGGACATAAGAAATGTGTAACACAAATGAATTAATGCTATCATGCTCTGTTCCATATTTTTTAAAAAGGATGATTTGACACAGGGGAGTCCTTCTAAGGAAAGAGCAGCAGTATTGGTCCAGAATATCTGTGACATGAGAAATGGTTTAAAGAATGCTCTAAACATACAGCCTGGAGAAGAAAATGTGTCTGCACATAGTAGGCACTCGGTAAATATTTATTGAATGAAAGAATGAGTAAAATGAGACCTAAGTTCTCTCTTCACGTGGAGTTGTCAGATGGAAGAGAGATTACACGAATTTGAGTTTTCTGTAGCTTCAGAAGCTGGAACATTGTATCTAAGTCAGCAGATTTTAGTCCAATAATACAACACATTTCCTGAGAAGACCAAGACCTACCAAACTTCACTTCTGCTAAGAGCCATCTAAATGAGCTCTTTATTTTAAAAATATAAAAACTAAGTAACATAACATAGTCTTTGTACTAGTGTTACTTTTGTGACAAATGACGGAAAAAATAAAGTTGTGGGTGATTTAAAGCCTCTAATGGTGTCATTAGGACCCTCTGTCTCTTTCTCTTTCTCCCCACTCCCACCTTTCCCTGTGTGGCTTCAGTGTAGGAGCCCCACAGTTTCAGCACATTCCGCCCCAAAGCAAAGGACAGCTTCCCACTCAGGGGCTCCTCTGACAAGACCAGCTGAGTGTATGGATGAACGAAGCCTCATGACCGCAGCGGGGGCTGTTCCCTGGAGGAACAGAGTATCACATGCTAATGCTAGACCCACTGCATCTCCGGGAGGAGACTCCTAGAACAAGGACAGGGCTGAGTGCAAGGGAGGGGGCAATTTTGCAGACCCAAGCTGGCTAAGAGTTACCAAAAGAATGACAAAAGTAGCAGTTACCTACTGCAGCCTGAACACTATTCCTATCCTGAAACTTACAACTACATTCAACATTACATTTACACATAATACATGATAAAAAAGTCAGTTTACAACCACTGGTTATTAAAACTCTTGAGTAATGCAACTCATATTTGATTAACCTGATAAGAACTCACTATTCCTGTGACATAGACCAGATGACTTTTTTGCATGGACTTTCTTTATTCATTTTTCTTCTAAAACATTATTGTATCGGGGATATAATGATGAGAAAAACTGTCCTCATGAGGCATATAATCTCATGGAGAAGGCAGCCAAGGAAAAAAACAATTGCAAAGAAGGTGAGAAGTATTGCAAGAAAATAACCTGTATACATATTATTGTATCAAGATGTAAAATGATAAAGTGAAACAGTTTAATCAAGCTCCTTCATGACTAAATATCAGTTTTCCACGTTAACTTCATGAAGATGGAAGAAAGGTTATTTTTGCTGAAGCAATTTCAGGTTTTTTTCCTGGCATATCTGAAGAAAAGTCATCTACTTGCTTGGAGTATCCAGTTTCAAACTCAGCAAAGACACCACTGTAACACAGCAGACACTGAAATCGGCACCTTCAGAGTCACAGAAAACATAACAGATTAGTTCAGGTCAAACAAGTGGCTTCTGTCAGTGGTTGGGGTTGTAAAGAACAAAAAGGGAGTAAAGTGAGGATATTGCCAGTGTCTCGAATCCCACACCCCCTCAACCCCTTATGTCACCCATAGTTCTGATGTGGGTCCTGAGTTTCACTTATTTTTCTCAGATTGATGCTTTCATCTTTTTCTCCCAGGGTGTATGACCTCTCAGGTGTCACCTGTGTTGTGGATATTCTTTTTTCTATCTGCAATGAATGACATGGCATATGACTCAACCTTCAGAATTTGAAGTTAATGAAAAGGTTTGAATGATCCTCACTCTTTTCCTGGGCAGAGAATAGCTATGCTTTATCTTACTTACCACTCCAGCCTCCATCATATGTTTCAAGTTATTTTGCTCCTGAATAATGGCAGTGGTAGCTGAATTACAAAGTTCACTGGGATTCTGATCTCAGCTTTTCACCTTGTTTTAAAATGTTTCCTGTTGCTTGTCAAATCTTAGTTGCTATTGTTAAGTAGCACACTGTATTTACAGTGAGTTAAGGAACATCAAGAAAACTGCTCTGGATTCCTTTGTCAACTCATTTACAGAAAGCACAGATGTACTACCCTCAGGTGACCTAGGAGGGAATGGGTTCCATTGTCATCGTTGGCCCACATTGTGTACCAAGCTGGACTGACATTTTAATTTCTGCCTCTTTTGTGCCTTCCGTTATCCTGGGGAGCAAGGTATAACGTGTCTGGAATCACAATTTTTGGAACGTTAGTAAAATTTTGAAATAGGGCCAGGACCATTCAGTGCTTGGGATGGATTTCTTGGAGTCCCTCCAAGTGTATGGGTTGTCCATTTGTGCCATGTGGCCAGACTTGAGTCTAGAATAGACAGTTAAGACAAAATTATGCTTACTGCAGGCTAGTTTTACAATGGAAAAAAACTGAGGGGACCAGTCTGGAGACGGTTGACTCTGTGCTTTAGAAGGCTTGTTCCATGGGGGAATGCCTCTTGAACGTAGTAAGGCTTTAGGATCCTTAGGAGGCTGCTACTATATAAAGGATGATTTAAATGGAAAATGATGGCTAAGACTGAAAAGCTTCTGGTTCTTGGCAAATGTTCTGTCTACTCAAAAGGAAGATAGTTCTATGTGATATATAAAAGCAGGGCATTTTGATTCAGCCTGAGGTGGTATCCCAGCACCACCATGTATCAGCTGTATGAATTTGAGAATGTTAACTTAATTCTTAGAAAAGCAGTGGTATTATGAAGTTAGGGTTAAATGAGTTATTACATATAACTGTTCAGCATGATACCTGACACATTCAAAGTGATCTGCCAAATCTTATAAAGAGATAACTTAAAAGATTATACTCTAAGGTTTTTGGGGTCCCCTTTGGGAATTTGATGAAAACTGCAGATTCTTACTCCTCAGGAAAAATATATATATATAAATTTTGCACAGTTTCAGGAAATTCAAAGATCCAAAGCAGTACAGTGTTTTAGATTAAGATCCTTTGTTCTAGGCTTAGACCCATTCCCAAAAGAAAGAATAAAGTTCTCAGTTTAATTTATATTTTATATATTTTTGATCATTTACAGTCATAATCTCCCTTTTAAATTTAGAAGGATCTTATCTAGTCTAAATCACTTATTTTATTTATTTTACTTTATTGAGGAATAATGGTGCTAAGGTCCTGAGAAAAATACTTAGTATTTCAGTTAAGCAGAGAACTCTTTATCAATTTTGCATCTCTATAATTTAAAAAAATGCATTTTATCTTGATCCACTACCTTTCATGTTTCAGATCTTCCTTAAATTTTACTTATTTCTACTTTGCTCCTAATCATGTTCTCTGAGATACATTTACAGTCCTTATAAATTAATGTTTATTCAAAGGCCCGTGATGGATATAATGATATTTTCATTTCTGTGTATTTAAATTAGCACATTAAACTCTACCCTGCCATATCCAGTTGACATTGTGCTATTTAATGGAAAAGGACTTCATGCCGTGCTAGAGTAATAACTTCATCAGGTACGAATTTAAATTAACGAAGCCTTATTGATGTACAATAGGTGAAGCATCATTCTATGTTACCTCAAATACATGAATGAACAGAATCCAGACACAGTGTGTGCTCTCATGAAGCTTAGAGTCTAGCAATGAAAATGGTCTTTCTTTCAGAAGAACATTCTGGCGTTGGAATTCTATTCATTGGTGATTCCAGAGATGAGCTGCAAGTTTTCAGCCATGTGAATGCCACCAATGTCTCCATTACCACTCCACAAGGACATTTGCTTTCATTTGCTTAAACAAGAGCTGATTAATGATGGGCAGCACGGAACACAGGATGACCGAAGTATGTCTAGGCAAAATCCCACCCATAACTTCCCTCTGGCAGGAGCATGAACCACGGGTGACAACTAGGACATATTTAGGTAAGTCATCGCTAGGCTTTTTACTGCAAAAATATTTTTAAACTCTTCTACTTTGCTACCAGGATAATTTGGGTGACTTTTGAGGAGAATTTAACAATAGAGCAAAGGTCCTAGGGTTTAGCAGTTTGCTCTAGTTAGAAGGTGGCAGGAAGTAGGGCAGATGGTTTAGAAAGAAGCAGATTAATAAAAGGGTTGGGAGACTGGGACATGAAAAATTGGAAGTAGATCAAATATATGTGACAGGGCCAAAAGCAAGAGACATGAAAAGGCCTTGAAATCATGTAACATTGTTGAAACTGCTTATTCCTCAGAGCCCTAGGTCCCAATGACATGGTAGCTCTTCTGACTTTGTGTCACCAGTGGTGATCCATGGGCTCTGGCGAATTCACCTAATCTTACTCCAGAATGGGGTCGAATAATGTTGCTGGAGCCCTGAAGGCAAAAGGCAAAGAGAACAAAATGATGAGCTGGCTCAGAGCAGGTAGGGTATGGCTCCAGCCTCTGCTCACCCTGGGTTGTTGCCTTATCTAGGGGAACGGACTGCTGGTCTTCATTTCAGAGCTAAAATGGGAAGCACGAGTGCTATGGAAACTGTGATACCAACACATAAAGGCATCTACCTTTCCTTTGCTTTTTCCACTCAGAAAAATGTTACCCCTCTCGCTTACCCTCCATATCTAGAAACTTATTCTTGTGTGGCTAAATATACCCCCTAGTTCTTTGAAAAAGGGAGAAACTTTTCTCAATATTCTTAGGAGGACTGAACTCAGACATTACTTCAGCCCTCTTGCCTGAGATGTCACTGCACAATGAGCTAAGGACTATCGGTGAAAGGCAGAAATTAGGTTTATGACATATGAGGAAGGTGAAACCAACCTCAACGAGTTGCATCATTAACTCAAGAGAACAAAATCATTTACTTAGGACCTGGTAAAGCAGGACTTTTTCATGTGCTCTCATAATTCATAGGCCACAATATTTTTAGTGGAGGAATTGCTTTTCTCTTCTTCTGGTGAATGCTTTGATAGACAACAGTATAAATATCCTGTAGGATGGGTCTATGGTTTTGTAAACAACCAGAAATAAATAAGGCATTTTGCTTGATGACTAAGCCAGACTGACAAAAAGGCTTCTACGGACAGAAGGCAATCGTAAAAGACAAGGAAGACCTTTTAGAAGAAGAACTGTGGTGCTCGGAACATGCTTAAATACTCTTAGCTATTTACCACCAAGGGGACTCTCAGCCTGGCCCCATATATATAAAAAACAGACTTATTTATAATACATGTAGATTATTCCTTGAGTCATACAGAATATATTGGATATATTATCTTTTACATTTTGTTCATATCACAAAAGGTAATTGCTTGCTGCAGAGTAAAAATAGAAATCATTAGCTAAGCTAGTAGACAAAGCTCTTGAAGTATTCCAAATAACTCTACCTCAGAGTTCCAGCTCTTCAATGGGAATAATATTTCCTTTTCATTAACTGGTTATTTTTCAGTTAAAAACTTAAAGAATGGTCTTTAGCTTAGAAAAGAAAGAATTTGTTGAAAGCAGGACACATAAAGGTATGTGTGTGTGTGTGTGTATGTGTATGTGTGTGTGTGTACACATACACTCACCTGCATACATATGTAAAGCCACATTTTAGAAATCATCTTTCTTCATTTACAGAGAGGTTAGAATGAAGAATACATTTGTGCCATTTAATTTCTCCGTGACCCTAGCATCTTCATTATTCAACAATATCACTGATGCTAAGTTTTCTTAGAATGTGACTGGCTAGATTAACAGAAGACAAAAATGTACTTTGCAAACACAAGTGCAATAAAGATGTTTAATGATAAACCCTGAGTGGTGTCAAGCACTTGAGGCCCTTTTAAATCAAAATGAACTGTCTTGTTAAATGGTACTAGGGAACCCCAAACATTAAAATTCAAGTAAATTTTGATTGCTATTTAAAAAATATATTATTTTTGTATGCAACTTTTAAGAAATAATACAAATAGCTAACATTTACTGAATACTCATGATAGGAGAGACACTGTTCTAAGTGCTTTACATATGTCTTTTAATTTACTCCTCACCAAGAAAAAAAAAAAAACCTATAAAGTAATGAAAAGTGAAGTTTGAAGAGTTTTTGAACAGTGACTAGATTATACAATATTGAGGTAAAAAAAAATAACAGAAAATTTCCAAGTTTACCCTTATAGAAGTCTTAGGCAATACATTTTAGGTCACAGCTAGTTACACTTGCATAATGAGAATGTTTCCATTTGCTTCCATTCCTGGACATTCTAGTTCCCCATAGACAAGTGGAATGCCTAGATGTTCATGTCTTCACTGAGAATAGAAAATGCAAAGTGACAGGTCTGGTATACACATAAATAACAGTAGTGCTATCTCATCAAGAGCAAGACCAGCACAACCACAACCCATCTAGTACTGCCCAGGGAGGACATTTTCTTTTCTTCACCATTCCTGAAAGAAGGCAGAGAGAAGTACCTCCTTTATTTTCCAAAGGTTTAGTGAATCCTA